GGGGCTCGCTCGCTGCTACTTTGGGGAGCCCGGTGGCAAGCGGACCGGGCGAGGAGGCGGGGGACGCCCTCGGGTCTCTCCACACCTCCCGAAAGGCCCCCTAGACTGAAGCTGGGGACCGACGGGGGGGGGGAGCCGGCGGGATGATCCCCGTGGGAAGGGAGGCTGCGTGGGGTGACCGGCGAGGGGGGGATTTGGCCCCTGGAAGGAGGACAACCGCGGACTTTCCGGCCACCCTGTCTCCCACACCCGCACCCCCACCCTCGGTCCCTGAGTTGAGAGAGCCGGGGAAATATTCCAGGGGCTCCGGCTACCCGGGCGGGCAAGAGAGAAAGCGCTGGGGTCGGTCCCCCCCCCCCACGGTCCTCCAGGCCAGCACGCAAGCCCGGCGCCAGCTCGGAGCGCACCTGCTCCGGGCCGAGGACAACACCCCACGCGGATTCCGTTGGCTAAACAGGCGCTCCCAACACGGAACCGGCAGCTAATCTAGCGCGTCCTACAAGCGCAAATGACCCCAGCCTGCCGCTTCGCCGAGCGCCGCCCGCGGAGGGAAAGCGACGCTTCCCGTGACTGTCGCCAAACACGCCTCCCGCCCCGCCCGGGGGGCTCCAGCCAGGACAGGCGCCCTCAGGCCACGGGCTGCTGGGGGGGGGGAGAGATAGAGAGAGAAGGAGGCTGAAGATTACGGCAGTGAAGAGATGGGTGGAGGGAGGGGGCATGTGTGTGTCTCACAGCTCGCCACTCAGATGCTCAGCTTGTAAGTTGCAGTGAACTTCCACCAGGGTCAGTGGCCGGGAATGTGGGTGGGTGCGGGGCTTAAGGGTCCCAAATCACAAAATGACCCCTGTGGGGTTCATTTTAAAATCCTCACTGACCCTAAGAAGAACCTTCGTGTCTTACGAGGCAACCTCTCCGAAGACGCCTGAAGAAGAGTTCTGTATAACTCTCCAGGCGGCAGTCGTTGGCACAACTGCCTAGAAGTCAGTCCCTTTCAACAAAGTCCTTCTCACTCCAGAGGCCCAAGCTCTGGCTGCCGGAGGGCAGGACTCGGCAATCATATTCGGAAAGAGGTTCTGGGGACAGCAAAGCCGCTTGAAGGGGTTCACGATTCGGGTGTCACCTCGGTCGCTGTGTTCTGTGGGGCACGCGACCCTGCGAAAACCAACCAACCCCGCGGCCCAGCCCGTGTTCTCCCGCTCACGGACCACTACGAATCTGTTCCAGCGTTTTACAGAATCAAGCCTGACCAGGGCCTAAATTGTTCACATTTTCTTTGCCTCTTTCCCGGTTTTAAAATATTTTTTTGCCTTGCTAGGAGAGCGAGTTCCTCTTTAGGCAGGACTCCAGTCCTCTCAATCTCAAGAACTACACACACAAAGTTAAACGTGCAATATTTCTGTTTTAAAGCCAGGTATCAAACATCATAGGGCTATGTAAAAAAAAAAAAAAGTTAAAAGCCAAGGATAAAACACAAAAGGGCTCTGAAAAAAAAAAAAAAAAAAGCCGGTTGCCCCCCTCCTCCGCTCCCGCGCGCCCCTCTCCGCCGTCCCTCTTTTGGCGAGAGATAAAAGTCTCCCTTGCTCGGGGCTTTGTGTCGAGTAGTGATTTCATCAAATGTCCACTCCGCTTTGGCACGTCTGGGTGTCAAGATGTCTCTTGTTTCGCCTGAAACAGCCCTTTTCACAAATCTCCGTCTGTCTCGGGAAATATACAGCCCTTCAGCTTCCAGTCGGGGCGACCCGAGAGAGATACAATACACCCTGGGACTGGAACATGAATTGTTTCTGTCTGGTTATAATTTCCCTGGTTCGTTTGGTCAGTCTAGGGACAACGGAGAGAAGGGCTGCTCGGCTTCCCGGCGCGGAAGTGCAGCCGGGTGGAGGGCAGCGGCGGAGGCACCTTCGGCGGGGAGTTGGTTTGTTTAGCCGGGCAGCTCCCCCGCCCCAGCCGTCGAGTTTCAGCCTCTCAGAGAAACACAGGAAGCGCCGGTGGGAGTGGGGTGGGGACCCCGTCCGTAGAGCCACCTCTCCTCCGCGAAGCTCTCCTGCCCGAATTCAGGCTAGGCTGGAAAACCAGTCTAAAGAAGGCCGGCAGCAAGACCCCCTACCCACCCACTCAAGCCCTGGAGGGGAGCCCTGGAGATGGGAACGCGACGGGCGCCGGTGGATCGTGTGCCGCCCTTTGAAAAGCTGTCGACAACCAGTCCTGCTTAGGCGCCGGACGTGCCGTTCCCGGCGTCTTTGTGGCCCAGCCAAGGAACTGGCGGCAAACCTGAGCGAGGGCGGCTTGTTAGCCACGTGTGGCAAACTTGCGCCGGGGCCCTCCTGCTCCATCCATCTCCGGTGTTTGCACACAGGAGTCAATCGCTCTCCGAGTCCAAATGAACTCCGGCCCTGTTCTCCCCCCCACCCCCACCTCCCCTCTCCTTTAAAACAAAAACACGACCACATTTCTTGCTTAACGGTGAATTGTAGCGTTTTTGCAGCCTCATTAAATCCATTCGAAGACAAAAGAATAGAAGCTTGGGCTGAACATGACACGATCCACTAGGAGTTAACAGTGCAACTGCCTTGGTTTTTGCTGGGGGGGGGGAGAGAAAGAGAAACTGGAGGAGAGGGAGGGAGGACAGATAAAGAAAACAAATAAAGCCCTTTAACTAGATCTTCACATAAATGTCACAGTTTCTCAGCCTTTACGATTCGCCTGCTTAGCATAAAAACACTTAAGGACAAGATTGAAGGCTTTGCGTGATATCTGGACAGAAGTCAAACAAATCCATTGCAAACAGACCCCCACCTCCCCTTAAAAGGAGAGGAGGGGGGAGGGAGGGAGGGAGAAAGGCAAGCGCTCTCCCAAATAATACTGAAGAAAGTGCCTTTCATTGTAATTCATAGACTTGTTCCAAATGCCAAGAGAGAAAAGAGAAGAATGGGAGCCCCATCGAAAGGCACAGATGCCCCAGTGCAGGGGGAGCACGGAGGTGGGGGGCGGGACGAGGAAAGGGAGCTCTACTCCCATTATTGTGGAGTTAAACAGTGGAAGGGAGGGTTAACCTAATCCATCAAATTGTCTGGAAATTGTGAGGAAAATTCAAAAACCATATGGTCTCCAAGCGGTTTGGTCCTTTCTGCGGCGAAGGCGCACGCTTGTTTCAGCATGGCGAGCCGCAGGAGGCCGAGCATGCTCCATTGTCGCTTGTCACTTCACAGAAGAGGCCTCATTTGTCCCCAGTTTTCATGCTTTACGCTAAAAATTACAACGCCATCCATTTTCAAAGAGGAGAAAGATTGATTTCGCCTCCGAGAAACTGCCCCCAAAAAACTCTTTGCCCCCCCCCACGAGCCGCGAGTCCCCCCCCCAGTCGGAACCCAGTTCTTTCTCTCCCCCCTTTCTCTTTTAACTCGACCACTATATACACCAGATTTGTGCTTCTCACATAAATTTTACCAAGAATAGGGAAACACACGTTGCTGGGTCAAAAAGGCAGGGCGCCTAGTGATTGGGAGAGGAGAGACGCGTTGAGAAAGGCTTGGGGGGGTGTCAATTAGATGATCTGGGGGGGATAATGAAGGAAGGAAGGAATATTTACCTGACGGTTTTTGCAAACCTTGGGGGGGAGGGGGGATAAACATGTCCTCTGGTTGTTTGCCCTTTCTCCCCCGAGTCCTCTGCTTTATTTTAAAAAGCCCGCTTTAAATATTTATTTTTGATGTCCATGTTAAAACTGGACAATTCCTCCATTATTTAAAGCCAAGAAACATCTTTTTTTAATGTTGTATCATTCGAAGGAGGGAGGGGGTGTCTATAAACACTACATATGAAATGTTCTATATGCATACATACGGACCATATTTTAGAATGCACGCACACCTAAGTTCATGTTCATCTATCTGTTTTATAGGGCAATTATTTAAAATAGCCACGGATACTTTCATATTTGATCCCCCCCCCCTTAGGGATTATGAGTTCAGATATACACCACAAAATTTTTAGCTATCCTTTGACTCTAAACTGCTAATTCAGCCACCCTGAATCCAGCTACCTGACTGACTGTACCTCACTGCATCTGAAAACTGAACCGCCATTGGACACCCCTCAAATAAAAGGGAAGCATTTTGTAATCACGGACAGAAGGGGCATCTGCATTCCCCAAAAGAAAACTTTAAAAGTATATATTAAAATTGTAAAGGTTTTATTGTTTCGGAAAAAAGACTCGTCTGTACAACTCTAAGAGACAGAATAGAAAGCAACATTGTCCCCTGATGTAACTTAAATAAGCAGGCCTTTAAATTTTTTTTTACAGCTCAAAGAAAAACATTTTAAATCTGTACATTTGTATTTATAGCGATAATATTTCCATGTGTTTATGGCTGGATCTGTTTGCTATTATTCGCAGTAGTATTAGCATTATAATTTTGGTAGCATGCAAAACAATTCTTAAAAAGAGTAAAAAATAAGTCTAGATTTCTTTTCCTTACAACCACCTTCATATAAAAATACGAAAGGCAGCTTTTTAATAAAACCACAACAATAGCAATAAATGGTAAAAATAGCTTTTAATTGGTAAAACGAGGCAGAAATCTCATTGGAGGCCAATTCCTAGGCGCTGGGAGAAAAAAGAAAGTATATATTCTAAACTTGCAATAGAACCCCTTCCTCCATAATACTGGGAGTGTGTGTGACAAAATAAAGAATAAACCAACCAAACAAAAAATAATCGTGCATATTGCAAACATGCGGGGGTGGAGGGGACTGCTAATCAAACCCTAAGCTAAATCTCATTATAAAGTGGGATTTTTTTAAACTCCCTCACCACCACCACCAAACAACTGTATAACAAAGCATCGAAGAGGCGTCCTTTATTCCACGGTTATGCCCCCCTTTATAAACAAAAAAGTATATCCTTAATTTTTTTTTAAAAAAAATCAACCCTCAGAAGTGAAAGTTACCCAATAGATATGCTTAAATATTTATACAGAAGCGATCCATAATTGCACCATTCCAAAAATGATAGCTACCTGGTTTGGCAGCCGTGGGCTATTGGTTCTTACTTTAATAATGATGATAGTTTAAAAAAATTCTTTCATGTTGCTTATTGCTTTTGTTGAAAAGAAACTGCCTTATGGAGTTGCCGCGGGAGCTGAGTTCTAGTTTCTCCCTAAAGTCCGGCATGTTTTCGGTTGCTGATGCGCAGGAGCCGGAGGGACAGTTCTCTCCTCGTGCGAGGGTGGGTGTGGAAGGGAACGCGCGCGGGGAGGGGGAAGCGAGATGTGTCAATTTCGTCGTTTGTTTTTGTTTGCGGGGCAAAAGAAGGGGGCGGGGGGAGGAGGAGGGGGAAGCAACCACCGCCACCACTCAATCATCAACGTCAATTTCCACGTCTTCATCTTCCGAGCAATCCTTGCTGCTGCCCGGCTGGTCCGTGAGAGGAGACGCCGGGGAGAGCTGGAGGTGGCCACTGCCTTCCAGTCCATGCTTGGGGAGGGTGGGCGAAAGGGAGCGGGACTTCGCTCTCCCTTCGGGGGTTGCATCCAGGTCGGAAATGGCTACCAGGTCCACCTGGCCGTTGGGTCCTAGTTTCTTGGCAGACTCCACGTCTGCTTTCATCTCTTCCAGGTCCCTCTTGAGCTTGGCCCTGCGATTCTGAAACCACGTTATCACTTGGGCATTGGTCAAGCCCAGCTGCTGGGCTATCTGGTCTCGGTCAGCGGGGGACAGGTATTTCTGATACAAAAACCTTTTTTCCAGTTCGTAGATCTGGTGGTTTGTAAAGGCTGTTCTAGACTTCCTCCTTTTCTTGGGGGTCTGTCTCTGGCCAAATATTGTCATCCCATCCCTTCCTGCAAACAGGCAAATAATTCTTTTCAGTCTCTCTCGCTCGCTCGCTCGCTGCGGGTGTCATACGCACAAGGAATCACCTATCCGTCTCTCTCCCCGAAGCTAAGATGGGAACAGTCACACATCCATTGTAAGCCATCCCACAGCCCCGGCCCCCCGCCACCAACAGCCCTCTGAACGAACACTTGTGGGATCCCCCCCAAAAAAAACCCCTCACACTCCCTTATGTGCATTTACCGGGCGAATCCCTTAAAAAGTCCGCCGTGCGTGCAGCAGGCCAGTCAATTCCGATCCAGCGAGCAGAACCTTTTATTCACCTCCCAGAAGGAAACGAGGCCTAATCTTTTCCAGCGCCTTAACCGGTTTTTGGGGAGAGGGGAGTTGTTTTTGGTTGTATTTTTCTTTACATTGGAAAGAATATGGATAAATTGGGGGGGGGGCAGGCCAGCGGGTCCACAAAAGAAGGCTGCACAGATTTCACGCGTGGGTTGCTTGATCTATAAATATACGGTTGGGGGGGGGTGATGTGCTGGCGGTCGGGTGAGAAATTGCAGGGTGTTCGTGGCACCTTCCCCACATCACTCGGCAACGGGGCCCACCGCGGACTCTTGGGGAGATGGCTCGGCCCGTCCTTCCGCGTGGACCCTCACCCTGTTGGCCCTCCCTTGGCCCTCCGTCCTAAACCACTACATTCCCCCCCAGACCGCGGGCGGGCGGGGAGGGAGGCGAGCGGCGGGTCTTACCTTCGGCCGCTTGCAGGACGCTGACTTCCAGGCCCTTGAAGGTCTTGCTGGCCAGCTCCTCGAGGGCGCAGAGAGGCGAGGTCTGGGAGAGCAGCGCCCGGCTGGAGAGGGGCAGGGAGGCCGGCGGGTGCTTCTCGGCGGCGGCGGAGAGCAGGTGGGCAGTCCCGCAGATGGTGTAACTTCTCCTCACCGAGGGCTTGTTGAGGATGTCCTCGATGCTGAAGGGCGTCAGGGGCTTGTTGGAGTTGGCCGGCGGGGGCAGGTGGTCCAGCGGGCTCCTCCGGCGCTCCTCGGCCGAGGCAGCCTTGCCCTCGTCTTTGGAAGTCATGCTTGGGGCGGGGGGGGGAGAGGCGGAGAGCCTCTCCCAAGAAACTTCAGGTCCTCAACTCCGGCAGGCGGCGGGTCTGCGGGCGGCGGAGAACGAAGGACGGCGGCGGGGCAAGGGCGGGCGGCGGGAGCCGTCCTTGGACGGCCAAGCTCCGCAGTCCTGGCTGGGAAAGAGGTGACTGAGGCGCTCCTGTCCCACTTTATTCCTCTCCCGCGCGCTCTCCTGCCCAGCTGCTATTTTAGGAGACACCCCCCAAATCGTCCCAGATCTGTCTTTCACCCCCCCCAACCACCACCGCCACCTCTCTCTCCCCCCCAGCCGAAGGAAGAGGGGGGGGAAGACTCCTCCTGAGTGAGGGAAGAGCGAAGAGGCGTCTCTTCCTCGGGCTGGGGGCTGAAAGAGACGGCGAGCGGCAGAGGCGAGGTAATTGACTCTTGCTAACAAGTTATTGTTGATTGGGAGGCGATCCCTTCGCCTCAATGACACTTTTCGCCCCCTCGCCTCCGCCCGTCTCTGCCTCGCTCCCTCTCAAGTCTGGCCAATGCAGGCTCTCGCAACTTGGTTAGGCCATTAATTGGGAGGCGGAGGGTAGGTGGAGCCCACTTGAATTATAATGTCGAAATACACTTGTCATATTGTGTCCCCACTATTTGCTTGGACGTATATATTTTAAAATTACATTACAGCCAGGCTTTATTGCATCAGGATAATACAGTGCGGATAGGGGGGTGGATTAAATAACCACCCCCCAAGCTTCTATCAAATATTTGCTTTCTGTCTTCTCCCCCGCCCCCATATAACCCTTTGCTTATGATAGTTATTAGTCTGTTAAAATTTTGATTGTTCTTTAAAAAAAAACCCAAAAAACACCAGAAGCAGAAGAAACGAAAGTGTCACCAGGTAAGGGGAACATTTCCTTGAAAAGCTTATTTTGTGTCTGTTTGTGTGTGTGTGTTTAATTCCTTTCAAATGACATTCACTCCAAGTTAGGAGGCTGTACGTTTTGTTCGGCGCTTGGTTTTAAATCAAGCGGGGTTTTAACCTTAGCAAAACTGGTAACAGTTAAGGGCTCAGAAATGAACTTTTTACATGGCATTGTAGTTTTGGAGATATGTTTCGTGAAGACTGGCTCAAGTATGGTGTGCATTTATTCACACTGGCTGAGGGGGGGGCTGAAGTAATTTTACAATAATTTATGTCCGATTTCTCTTGATCATTTAAAAACAACAACAATGGCATATTATTTGAAATACTGGGGCAGAAGTTTGCACTCTAGTCTTAATAACATGGCGACCTCCTGCTTTCGAGATTTCCTTGAACAATGTACTCTGTGGTGGTTATTGATTCCTGCTCGTCTATTTCAACACTTGTGATGGTTGAACGTACTGAGCTCGAGTCAGTATTGTTGTTGTTGCTGTTGTTGCGGTTGCAGTTGTTGTTGTTGTTGTTGTTGAACAGTTATTCGTATTCAGAAAGCGGAGAATAGCTTTAGGAAAATATATCATCTCTGATAATGCCTAGAGGACAGCAGAGGGAGAGAGAACGAAAACGCAGAGTCCCCCTATAGCTCTAGCTAAATCCTTTTCTGCTATAACTCAAACGCAAAGGGCCACCAAAGAACGGAAGGAACATATTTCATTTCCCTTAAAAACTCCAGATGATCCTGACAGGGAAAGTCCCCCCCCCCTTTCTCTCTCTCTCTCCCCCCCTCTCGTGTGCTGTGTGGCTTCACTCACAAGCGGAACAGAAATACTGCTCCTTGGTGGTAGAGGGCTTGCCGACTAGAAGGGTTAAGACATTTCTTGTTTTCTTAAAGGCTCCCTGAGTGATTGGAAGGGCGCAAAGGGTCTCCAGGAATCCAGCGAGATTGGGGAGGGTTGTCACTGGAGGGTTTAGGGCTGGGGGAGAGGAGCCATTTTATCGTAATGATTCCCGCCATAGAATGAGAGGAGTGTATTAAAGCGCCATGTTCCAAATCATGGTTATTATTTTTGGGCAGGTCAAAGCAGCCCTTTTCACTGTCCTTTATTCATTCGGCTGGGGGGGGGGCGACAGTCCCTCTCCCCAGAATGGGGAACAGAGACGTTTGAAATATGTGTGGGGATGGGGGAACAAGCGTCATTGTCAAGAGTTTTTATTCATAAACATAGAAGACTCCAATAACAAGATTATTTCAGAGGGAACCAGTTATTCATATTCGAACCCTGACCCCCCCCCCCCCGCCCGCACACACACCCCGTAAATCAGTGGCCGGATTGGCTCCTGCATCAGCAAAGCCTGGCTGGTGATGTACAGCAGGGGTCGACACATCGAGTAGAGTCTGCCAGCAAATTTGGAAAGGAAACGTGTATCACTCTTCCGCCTACATTTGCCGAGTTTGTTGCTCCTGAGCCTTTCTCAAACGATTACCTGGAATCGCCCTCCCCCGCCTCCCCCCGCCTCCCCAGTTTCACTCCTGGGCTCTCGGGTGAGGAAATATACCATTCCGGTGGCCAGTCCCCCTCCCCTCTTATTTATTATCTGTCCCTGAAACTTCATGTCTGTAAAGCTCAAATTCAATCAATCTCTCCAACACCTCCACTCGCAAGCGCGCCAGTGCACACTTACACACAATATTTTAACGTTTTTTTATATATATGGAAAGGACTCCCGCTCTGTATTCAACATCCACAGCAAATATTCAGTGACTCCTAATAAAACATGGTCTATAGTTCCGGGGGCAACAAAGAAGCTGTCCGTTGCAAAGGCACATTTGCGCGGAAATCCAAGGGCACGTACCCAGCAGCCTATACCGTGGATTAGTTACCCCTCGGCAGCGTCTAACCCCGGTGTCAGACTCCCAATCGGAGCGAGGAAAGGGAAGGCTTCTTCTCACAGTGCCCACTCCCGCGTGTAGGTGAAAAGGTGGGTCCTGAAAGATGTCGCCGTTATCTTGGATTAATGGAAGCAGAGAAAGGGGCCGGATTCTTATTCTGTGGTGTACAGACTGGATCCACAGAGGGGGCGCGGGGGACTCCCTTCCAGTCTCCGGCTCTAAACCTGAGCCCTCGGAACCTGCATGCCACCGGGGACTTGCAGGGGGGGGCACGCAACCCCTCCCCGGCTCAGTGGTGCCGTTTGTCCTCTGTTGACGCTGGCTGCCAAAGAACGGAGAAAGTCACAGGGCTTCTCTCCTTAAAGCGCCCTCGTCCCCCCTCTTTTATTGCTCTCTGGGAGTCTCTTTATGCAGTGACCTATTTTTAAAGGCCTGTATTGGGTTATTCATCATATCAAATACTGCGAAGAGATTAGGGGAGGGGAGAAATTACCCTGGATCTCAATCGTTAGTTGTTGTTTGCCCCCCTCCCCAGCTTTGCCGAAAGGAGTTGTTTCCCTTCTTTTGGCTTCCTCCTTTGATAAATGATTGGCGTATCAATCATCGTGCACACCTTTGGTGAGAAGATTCGGTTGTAATCGCTGGCGCTTTCCTGGGGAACAAGCGGGAGTCCCGCTGGGGCTCCGTGGGCGTACTGGTACCCGAGTGGGGGACGGCTGCTTAGGCTGGACCGACAAGAGAGCTGGTATAGGCTGTCTGGGAATCAGGGGCTGGTGCCTAAACCGAGACAACAATAGCAGAGCTTCAGAAGACCCATGACATGTCGGTTCTGGATTGCGCATGTGTGTGTCTGGGAGCGTTTTGATTGTACGCTGTGTATGGCGTAAGAAATCCGAAAGGCTTCGACGCACAAAAGCAGCAGGGGGCTGTCGGGGAACCCTTAACTAACCCCCACCCCAAACAACATAAATCCAATAGGCTGCCCACTCGAGGCTTGAGGAAGGACCTCCACCACCCAATCCTCGACATTTCTCAGAAATGGACTTCCACTTCAGTGTGGTTAAGATCGGGGTGCCAATTTGATATTGTGTGCATTTAGAATATATAGTTCAACTTTATGGTCCTGAGCCCAAGTACTTGGGGTGGAAGGCGCCTCCTAAATATTTTTGTTTTAAAACCCCAAATAGGTATTATTTATTTTAAATTCTAAAAGATGTGTACACACAATTGACACTATTCCTTAAATATGAAATGTAACATCAGATATTAAAACGCAGTTTTCAGGGGCTGTCTTGCAAGCACAGGTCATCCCACCCGTACCTCGTGTGCACACACGAAGTGCCCTTTGAATAATGCTTATGGCTGTCTCTGAAGAAATAAAGTGGATTTACGCGTGTAGACTCTCTTTTTCAGAGTCTCAGCACGCGCCAGTAAACGGACTGCCTCCCCACCTTAGCCTCCTACTAGCCAAACCAGCATTTATTTAAGGACCCTCGACATCTTTGGATCGTATTTCTCCTCCTTCCTCAGCTACCCGGTTCTCAGCTTTTGGCAATAATTAAGATTTCTGAAAGTTTGCCGGAAAGGGATTTGGCTCAGAATGTCGATCGCCTTTTGAAAATCAGGCGGAAAAACCCGAGCGCGAGCGGGTTCCTGCTTGGAGCCCAAAGAGTGCGGAGTTCCTGGTGGGGGGAACCAGTCTCTCCTTGCTGAGCAACGGCAATACCGGGAGTTCCGGGGGAAGGAGATATGTGATGGCCGCTTTCATTACCCATTTAACTCTTTAGGGTCTTTTGGGCTCCTCAGTCCTTAAATATCCCCCCCCCCCCCAGTTCTTGGTGTTGTTTCCTGTGTATGTTGAGAAGGGTCGAGGCCAAACTGGAGTATCCTACAAAGAGAAGCGAGGAAGGGGAGTGTGTGGGAATAATAAATGGATTATTTGGAGCTGCTCCAAGCACCAGGCTTGTTGTTTTGTGGCCTGCAGTTCTCTAGAGCCTTTGGAGTTCACGTTAGCTTTTTAAAACCCGGAGTTCCCCGGTACGAAATAGGAGCCAACCAGTAGTCTCGTTTCCCTGACAAATGATAAGAATCAAAACCGCCTTTCTCGGGAAGTGTCGGAACATCTACTGGGTTGGCAGTTAAATGTTTGATTGAGCAAGGATATTTGGCACCGGTTCCGGCGTTA